GCAAAACTTGTAATAATGACAACTGCGAGACAGAGAGAGAGCGAGCGAGCGCGATAGAGAGTAGGCGGGCCGAGGCAGGTCGTCAGATTCGTGAAATCCGTGCAAGCGCAAAAAAATTTGTTGACTCTGAAAGATTTTCATGGCGCCCAACGAACGATGCTGCTGTCAAAAATGTTGTGTGTACGCGCGCCAAAAATGTTTTCCGGCCAAGGTGTGCAATGGCTTCTGCTGCGGCTGCCAGGCGATTTGACTATTAAGCTCACCTACCTACCTCTCTCTCACTTCACCTTTCAATGCATGCTTGCTGTCGTTGTTGTTGTTGCTGTTGTTGTTGTGTGCGGTAATAAAATTCTTAATGTGCCATTAAATCCTTCCACTGGCAACGTCATCAGCGCGTCATGACTTTTGTGAGCCGCCACCAACGACAACGACAACGACAGCGACTGCGACAGCGACGTCAACAGCTTCGCTATGGCCAGGGAGAGTTGTCTTGGAATTCCGCCAAGCCAAAGAAATCTAACGAAAATTTTGCTGCGAAATGGCACGTAAATAAATTGCAAAGATTTGTCGTCTGTTGAGGATACGGACTTGGCACCACCAACAACAACAACAGCAATGGCAATTGGAATGAGCATAACACCTGCCCCATAGACCTGAGACTGTTGTGCGGTTTGCCCCCGCCTCTGCCAGCCAGTGGCAAAAGGACAACAAATGAGTTAACATTTTTGGCGTCGCTACGTAAAAGCCTTGGCAATCGTTGGCTCTGCCCCACTGATGACAACTTCGGCCCCAGCTCCACAAATATACGTATATCTCCGCCAGTCTTGATCTCCAGCTCTTGCCGGCTCAACCATAAGATTCACCTCTTGTCCGCTGGCTGCTGCTGCTGCTGTCATTATGATTATTGTCATTTGGTTGAGGTGATTCAATGCATTTAGATTGCATAATTAAGTAAGGCGCGTTCATTTATAAAACTCGCGCTTCAAAACAAATTACAAATCGCACTTCAGCTGCAGAGACTGAGGCCTACAACTGCCATAAAACATTATTTCTCTTTAAATATAGATAATATTTATTCATATTTCTTTTTATTTAATCTTTAATGAATGAGCTTATGCAAATCTAATATTATACCTACACATACATATATCTAATTCGATCATGTTGAAATTATCGCTGATGATCAATTTTTCGCTGCCCTTTCTTTGACATTTTTCAAAAAATATTTCCAGAAATTATGAAGAGTTAAATTTTGTCTTATTTTAAGAAGTATGAACTCGAGTTTAATACAAAAAATTTGTAGAACTATGGCTTGAATGATATTTAAAATATTCAACATTAAGGGAGACCTGATAAGGTTTTTAAGTTTATTAATAATATATATTAAAATATTTATTATATTCAAAAGAATTCTCTTTAATGGCTAGCTCAACAAAGAAACTATATTTATATTTATTCCTTAACGATAGCTTTAGAATACTTAAAGATTGTTTCAGAACTATTTAATGTACTTTCTGTAAATGAAAGAAGCTCATGAAGGGAAACAAGAAGCTTGACCGAATTCAGATAGTTATTGCAGCTATTTACACACAAATTTGATAGCTGATAATTCTGAGTATTATTATATCCTGAACCCATTAGAAGTGGGAAATCAGGGAATTAAGGTTTTGTTTAAATGTATGTACAGAACACCAGAAGGAGCCGTGGCAGATCCGATAAAGTATATATATTCCGAATCATCTGTTTCTCTGTCTGTCCGTCTGTCTGTCTGTATATGTAAACGCGTTGATCTCAAGCACTCTTCAGTATGAGTTAAAATGAAGTTTATATGCTCAACAGTTATAAAGAAAATGTTGTTTTTAATACATTAAATCTCATATATGAATACAAATATATGATATATATAATATATATATAAGAATATATGTTCAGCATGATCAGTGGCTGTTTATATAGTTGCATATATTTGTCTGTCTTTTAAATCATGTAAAATGAGCAAAAAAGTGATAAATGTGCTCGTGAGCAGCAAGAAAAACACATTTGATTTACATATATATGTATAGCAAGTATATTCCCGATCAGAATGTTCGCCTTTACATTTTTTAAAATGAGTGTAAATTCTCACTCTCAAAGTGCTCACGAGCTCTGCCGGCGTTGCCTTTTGAGTGACTTTTGGGTATAAAAGGGCGCAGCAGCGGCTGTGGACGATCAGTCAAGTTCGTGACCTGGACTGGGTCAGCTGTGCAGTGCAGTGAAAATTGTGAATAAATTTAAGTTTTTTTGTTAACAAATACTTTGTAATTTTTTAATAAATATTGTATATGTTTAATTACTATTTAAATATATATTTAAGTTGTTCTTTTGTTTAAAAAATATTTAATGTTTAATTGTTTAAATGTTAAAATATATAATTTGTAATATTAATATTAATATTAATAATAATTAATATTAATAATAATTGTTATTATAATAATGACGTTCGTCATAATGGTCATTAGCGATAAAGATCATTAATTTATGTACATGATCATTTATTACTCATTGTGTTAAAATGCCTTGGTCTCTTTAAAATTGTTGTTGTTAATTTATGTAAAATATTTATGTAAAATATCTCTGTAAAATATCTATGTAAAATATTTATCTTAAATATTTATGTTAAATATTTATGTTAAATATTTATGTTAAATATTTATATTAAATATTTATGTTAAATATTTATGTTAAATATTTATGTTAAATATTTATATTAAATATTTATGTAAAATATTTATGTTAAGTCTTTATGTACAAGAGCTTTCTTGCTCTTACTTTTAGTCTTAGTCTTAGTCTTAGTCTTACTCTTACTCTTACTCTTACTCTTACTCTTACTCTTGCTCTTGCTCTTGCTCTTACTCCTACTCCTACTCCTGCTCCTACTTTTACTCTTACTCTTACTCTTACTCTTACTCTTACTCTTACTCTTACTCTTACTTTTACTCTTAGTCTAACTCTGACTGTCACTCTTACTCTTAATCTTAATCTTATTATATAGATTAGGATTTTATTTTATCTACCTCCTTTTTTTTTATAGTTAAGTTATTTGCAAAGTGTGCTTAGTGTATGCCATAGGAAGGGAATCTCTTCTCTTAATATTCATTTTAATAACATTATATTTTTGTATGTATTTGTATATGTATTTGTATGTATATGTGTAGTAAATGTATACAAAAACACGTACATGTCTATATATTTATATTTAAAAAATATTTAAGAACAAGTTTAATATATATGCAAATATATTTAATATATTATAAAATAATAACAATAACATTGACAACTGTTTGCTAAATAATCAATGTATGTAATACAAAATGAATATTTACAACAGTTTTCTCTTATTAAAAATGGAAATAATTTCTAAGAGAAATAAAAAAATAGTAAAAAGTAAAAAGAGAAATAAACAAATAGGAGATACCCTGATCTCAGTTCTATTTGCATTTTTTTAAAAAATATTTTCTATAACATGCTTCGAATATAAAAAGAAGAAAAAAAAAAATAAAAATCGACATTAGGACGTAACTCTGAAGGCGTGATTCTGGACTAAGCGGCGCAGGACTATCAGAGCCTGCGTCTGACCCGCACTTAAAAAGCTACGGTGGGAAAATGTGGTCCAAAGAATGCTACAATTGCTGTGGCTGATCAACAGAAGAAGCAGAGGGTCGATGGAGCAGTCTATGTACACTTGAGGTTTGACTATCTGGCAAGACACGGCCTGTCCACTGACTTAGTCTTCTTAGCTTATCTCAAACATGGGTCTGCGCTCTCCTTGGTTGAGTCTCCTCATCGTCTGAGCTTATAGACAGGAGCTAATTTCGTTATTATTATAATCGTATATTAAAGGGATTGATTTAATGTTGAAGAAATAGTATTAACTAGTAATATAATTAAGATCAATAAGAATTTGATAAGAAATCTATGGGCTTAGGTGAGTTTCTCTCAGCAAATGGAGATGGGAATTCACAGAGCAAAGCCAAGCAATTTCTATTAATATAAACGACTTAATTTTTAGTGGGTTTCATCGAATGCAATGCTGTTCACAGTTTGACTTAAACTAAAATCAGCCTGCTCTATTACATATAGCTGCCATGTACTTAAGTCATGTCCGATTGCGCTATGATTACAGCAAAGTCCTTTGGCTATGAGTGGAGGTGGTGTTGGGGCCGTCAAGCACTTCACCCAGTTAGCTGGAGGCTGCAACAAAGCCATGCCAAATTATAAACCACTCAACCTGTATTACATGTCGAGGCTCGCTGAATCGTTTCGATTGTTGCAGCTGCCGCAACTGCAGCAGCAGCAGCAGTTGTGCTGCTTCGAGTGTTTAATACCTGTCGTCATTAATATTTGCCTGCGGCACAACAAAAGCGTCTACTGGCCTCCAGGGCACTTGTCGATATTTAACATAATTGTGCAATTGTGCGAAGGCACCCACCCACACACACACACACACACATTTCTTTATTTGTATATGTAAAATCAAAAAGAGTTCAAGCATCTGCGTTTAAGTCGCGTTGCTTCCAAGCACCAAGTGCCGACGCTCACTCAGGCAGTTAATGGTGCTGCTTGCAGCGGATGTGCAATTTCTTGCCGACCCGACCTCAAAAGCCAAGCCCAGCTTCTATATGATCCAACCAAATGCGCTGCTCAAGAGTTTTGTTAGATTTCATCTGTTTAGTGGGCATTTTCAGGGCAAGCCTTGGCTTTGGGCTTCCACCTACTAAAAATCAACTGAGATAGAATTTCGAGCATTCATGCAAAATGCTCTAATAGTGAACATTTTTGTGTGCTTAGCTGGCGTTGCCTGTTGAGAGTTGTAAATTGAATGCTTGTGTAGCTTTGTAGGTCATTCGGTTCCCATTTAAAGTACAGATCACATGTGAAACCAAAAAAATAAAAAATTTTTTGAAAAGTTAAAAAAAAGTTCAAATATTCCGGTTCAATATATAAAAATAGTTAAACATTTCATTATTTTTAATATTTCAGCAGTGAAATTTAAAATTCAGGTAAATAAGAGTGAATTGAATTATTTAAATCGGATATTAACTTGATTCGGTCGCAAGGATTCGAATCATGCAACGTTCATCGATTAGGTTCGTACGAGGCTTGTCCGGGCGATCGAGTGCATCGCAACTGCTTGTTGTCAGGCCTAATATTGCGTGCTCCCAAAAGCTGGGATTTGCTAAGGACAGTGGAGAGAAAACGGCGTTGGAATCGCGATCCGGAAACACGATGAGCAGTGCCGCAGCCTTAAAAAGGGACATGACTGTGCCACGGCGAATGGTGCGCGAGGACAACATGTGGACCGATCCACAGTACATGGATACTAGGTGGCTGCGTCCCCGCGATCCTCGACGCTACAAGCCGGACTTTGCCCAGACCGAGCCGCATTCGTTGCGCATCCAGTTTATGCGCAGCCCCGACGAGCGTACTCGAAATGCGATGGGACGCGACTGGGAGGCACTGAAGCGCGTCGCTGAAGGTAGAAGGCGCCAGAGCATCTCAGCCAATCTAAAGCAGGAACAGAACTTTGTTAATATGGGGTCTAACAAGGAACTGGGTCACCCGCAGAAATGAGCCATGCGTTAGCGACCAATTGGCAAAAAGTAGACCGCAGTAGATCGGACATATCGAATTTATCTCGAACTGTAGATATAATAATTAATCAATTTAACCCGCATTTGCGTGCACCCAGTATCCGGCCGTTCCAATCGATATCTATATTTTTGCCAAGATTGTTTCCGAATGAAAAAACTAAACGGAACACCAGTGTAATGCGGACGAAAAATGGTGAAAGCCCAGGGGATGTATACAGGTAGTAGTTTTTATTTGGACCTATTTCAAACAGTCGTTGACCAGCTCCCTGTACAACTCTGATCCGGTATCACTATTTGAATCCTAAATCGGACGGCAATTTTTTAATATTACTATTCAATTGAATTAAATTCATTTTCTATATTATTAAGCAATTAAATATACGTTCTTTAAACCTGACTAACCTTTTTTTGTAAGCATAAGCTGGCGATTCAGCTTAGTGGTCAGGCGAGAGCGATCTTGCTTGCTTCAATGAAATCATGAGCCAAAAGTAAAGTCTCGGCTGGTAATGGACATAGCCGAAAGGCGATCGATAAGCTTAAAATGTATCTACAAATATTAAAAATTATATATATATAGAAATATTCCATATGACATTCTCTATTCATATAGGATTTGTATTGTGAACAGTTCTCGCAGCTGAATGGCGTAAAGCCATTTGCTTTGGCTACTTTGTTGCTGCAGAAAGCGCTCTGGCGGTTGGCAAGAAATATGGCAACACCTTCGCTACGGACATTAATTTTTACTGCTTTTGGGTTTTCAATTTGCCAAAGAAGCCACGTGAACGACAACAGCAGCGGCAGCAGAGACAAGGCGAAGGACTGCGGCATTTAACGCCGCATAGAAAATCAAACGCAAAAGGTCGAAAGACAAAGGCAAGGAGTTGGAACTGGAGCGCCTTGTGATATATATATATATAAAATATATATGCATACCCCCTGCCCGTTAACCGTTAGCCGGTGGGAAGAAGGGAATGGTACCCAGTCAGTAACCCTTTATCGAGACGCACAGCATGGGGCAAGTGTTGATTTAGGGTTGCAAACAGAAATTATGATAATGCCTGTGAAAACAACAGAACAGAAATAGTAAGAGAAGTGGCACGGGATGGGGGGCGGTGTAATGAAACCCAAGCGAAAGAAAATATATTAAATGATATTGAGAGGAACTAATTTTCATTAAAAGGATTAAAAAGCATTTGGCAGCGAGGCGGGCACAGACAACCGCGATGCGGGCTGGTTATGAATTAACATAAAAATCATAAAAATATGACACTATGCGACGCGTCGACCAACGGCTTCAGCGCGATAATCATCATCATCATCTGTATCGCGAACATCATCATCATTATCATGTTCAGCAGGCGGGATGCTCATAATGAGCAGAGCTTCGAGGCGACCCGCAACACCGGCTAAATGGATATGGCAGCAGCAGCAGCAGCAGCCACAGCCACAATCTCCACGAGTGAGCGTGGCAAGCAGGCAGGTGGCTGCGGCAGATGGGCGCGCGGATGGGTAGTTGTGTGTGGCAGCATTGATGGCAACGCGCGACAATCAACACGAGGCGCGCTGATAGCGTCGTGGCAGCGCGCGGTACATTTGGGTTTGGGAGGATTAGTAATGGCATCGCCATGGATTGGGTTAAAAGGTGGGCCAGAGCATGCTAAGCATTATGCTGCTGCTGCTGCTGCTGCCCAAACGTCGTCCGAAACATTGTTTGCTCTCGCTCTCTCTATCTCTTGTGTTTGGGGCGTTGCTGCGGCTGCGGCTGCCAATGCCAATGCCAATGCTTATGAGTTGGGATAAATGAACCACCCAAACCAGGCCGGGCCTTAGCCACTTAGTAACTCACCCGCAGTTTATTATTTTCAAAATATTTAAATTTTTTGGTAATAAGCGAAAAATGGTTTTAATATAAGCAAATGGCTGCGGATAGCAGGAGGCAAACGATGTGCCTGACTGCGACGTTGTTGTCCTTAATCCACCTGGTTGGAGCTGCGCCATTCAGGCGGACGGGGCTATGCAGGCGGACGGGGCTATGCAGGCGGCCGCTGTATCGATATGTACAGCTGAACCCAGCACGCGTACGCAGAGTGTGTGTGTGAGAGAGAGAGAGAGATAGATAATGTATTATTAGTTAAGCTAAAGGGGCTGAATAATCGGCTGTATTTTTCTGCTTCCTTCTTTGCTTTTTACAATTTCTAGTTAAGATAACTATATCATAGAGCTGCCACAGAAGCGGATCAAATATTGATTGAACTCTGCCTGAAGCTGAATTGAAGCTGCCTAGCCTGGAAAGGCCTGCTAACAATATGGCTTTAAAGTGACATTAAGTTCTTTGTGACTAGCTTTAAGATATTTGTTCATCAATAGACAATATGTATTTATGTATGTAATATATCTGCCATGAGTCTTATGTAATGTGGCCTTTTGTGGCGGCTTGAATGCAAGAACTTTTGATGGGAGATGAAAACGAGTCTGGCAACTCGTAAATGCCTAAACAAGCGACCGTTTGGCAGGTTCCTTAAGTTTTTAGCGAGACAATTGTTGTGCCTTGTGCCTGGCCAGGCTGCCATCCAGTGCCCATGCCCGAGTGAAATTAGCCAAAAGTAATCCTTTAAGTTTAGTGCGGCAAGAATTGCACACAATTGTCGGGCGGGGCAGTAGAGACCGACAGCCAGACAGGCAGTTGAGGTTGAGTCTGAGGCAAAGTGACGCCCACACGAATTGGACCAACTGGACGCCTCCTCACTCCACGCACCTCCCACTGCCGTCCAAAACATTGTCAGCCACGTTGATGACATTGTGCAAAATTTTGTAGCTGTCGTCGTCGCCGTCGTCGTCGTTGTCCTCGTTGTCGTTGTTGCTGGTTGCGCCATCTTCAGCCGCCTGGCTATAAAACTTTTATAGTAAAAAGTAAATGCCACAAATGAGCAATCGAAAATTTCGCATTATAATGCAAACTGTGTGCATTTTTCGGGTTATTGTAGTCTACTTTTCGGGCAAGAGACAAACGCATACCACGGGAATGCGACACGGACACGACAGCCATCGTCCTGCTGCTGCTGCTGCTGCTGCTGTTGCTTTGCTGCTTGTTCTTCTGCTCTGCCACTTCATCCATGGCAGTCGTCATGGTCTCCTTTGCCGTTTGCCAGCGCCTAGCCCAGCCTGGCATTCATTTGCGTTGCTTACGCTCGCTCTGCCTGTCCATCGTCTTCTCTTCTTTTTGCCTCTATTAATAATAATAGAATTTTTGGAAATTTTGCAGCAGCTCTGTGAAAGGAAAAGGAAGCTCGCCTCGCGATTTTTGCATTTGATGACAACGAACGGGTTGGTTAGTTGGCGAAAACCACTGCCAATGGCACCACCATCATGCCCAGCATCATTCCAGTCGAATGGCCGTCCCCCCTCACTTCTCACATCCTACCCCACCTGCTCGACATTTCCTTTTGACTGTATTACATAATTCAGCAGCGTTGCCCCTCCCGTCTTCCGGCCCCTCCAGCTGCACTGACAATAATGCTAATAATGTTGATAATGCTCATACTTAATACTCGAAAATGCATAAAATACTCGTATACCGGCCATGAATTGTGCTCGTTTATAGTTAATAGACTCGTTGCTTAACATCTTGGCCACGTCTTAAAGCATAACGGCAGCTGGGCTGAAGATTCTCAGTGAGTGAATCAAAAGAACGTGTTCCTATTCCATTCGTTTTCCGATTCAATTTCTTCTTATAGAAGTAGCTATAGAGGTAGTGAGTATAGATTGAGTAAACATGGTATTAAATTGGTATAAACTATTCCATTGCCTTAGAGCTAGGATCACCCAGATTTGTAGATGAATTGCTAGTGGCTTTCTCTACAGATCAGCCAATGAGTTAGATGTGGATGAGTAGATTATTATGCCTGACTACAATGTTCCTATATGTCAATTTAGTGTGCTTTGCACACTGTGTTCAAGTTTTTTTCCGATTCATTCCGATTCGTTTCCTATTTCGATAACGATTCACATTTCAACACTTTATCGATTACATTTAAAACAGTTTTCTCTTCGCATACGCTCACTGCCTCAGCCATGTTTGTCCATAAAAGTGCCAAAAACTCATTGACTTATGGGCCAAGGCTTGTCTCTAATTGCAGACGCCGCCCCATCCACAACGGTGCTCGAGTCAAGCAGCTGGCCAAGTTCGGACTGGGCCGGGGGCAATTGACGGGGATAATGTCCTTGGCTGGGGCATATTAAAATTGGATTTCCGAAATATGTATGCATATACTTAGACTTATTATTATTATTATTATTACTACTATATCTATCTATATGCTTATAAATTAGCATTTTGGGCGGCTGTCCGGGCGTTCGCCTCGGAATGCGTTATTAATGGCAAATTAAAAGCAATAAAAAACAGATGTGCTTAACGTAGCACATTTTACGCGGCACAGGCCACGCCCCTCCGCCTTGGCCAAGCCGTGATGCAAGTGAACGTGGACAGGGTCTTGGGGCAGCAGTTAGAATTGGGCATGGAGGGGGCGGGGCCTTGGAGCTGGGTTACAGCTCATCAGCTGTGGGCCGCGCACCTTTACTCAAGAAGTTGGCGTCGTTGTCGTTATGAAAATGACTTTGCTCTTTGCTGTTTTGGCCCGCCTGAAAGGTGGGGCGGTCTACATACACTCGCACACACACACACACACACACACACTTGTGCGAAAAAGTTTTGCATTCGAAATTTGTTGGTCTGTTGCGCCGCGCTGCGCTGCCGTTGGCTTATGCAGTTTATCATTTGCGCTCCATCCAGGTGGGTAATTTTAATTTTAAGCTTGAGTAATGACAATATTTACTTCCACTTAAGCGACAACGTCACACGCTTTAATGGCATTTTGATTTGAGCTGTTGTTGTTAAAATTCTTCTTCTTCTTCTTTTCCTACCTGTATCTTTCGTATTTACTTTTTTTGGCAGCTCGACGCCAACAGCTGCTGACAGTTGCCTCTCGTCTCGACATTTACCAGAAACATAAAAAAATATCAGTTTCTTTTTTGTTTGTAGCCCAAGCTGCAGTCTAGCTAAAGGCTAATGGCTTCTAATTTCAAGCGGCATTATGGTAAAATCTGAGTCAAGGAGGGGGCGTGCTGTAGTTGTCATTGAGAGAGAGAGAGAGAGAGGCAGAGAGCGCGAAAGAATGAAAGGCAAAGAAAGAGACTAAGAGATATATAGAGAGAGAATGAGTGAGAGAGGGGAAAAGAGCGAGAGAGAGTGAGATAGAGCAGCTGAGATTTGAAGACAGAGAGGGAGAGAGATAGAAAGAATCACAGAAAGAGAGAGCGAGAGAGATGACAATGATA